GTCTCGTTTCTTTAACATATAACTTAAAAGCAGGCATCACACATACAAAAAATATATCACAGACTGCTTCTTTATTCACCTGCACTTTCAGAGCTGCAGTTTCAGAGCCATGCTAGAGGTGGCCAGATTGTCCACCAGATTGACTGTGATATTTCTGGTCTGTCCCCCTGGATCCTGCATTTTCAGGATGTCAGGTCAAAGAGCCAAGTCCAGCCCAGCATTGATCAATGGAGCAGAATCATCATAGAACGGTCAAACCACACACATTGGATGTCAGAAGTTCTACGAGTTCGTCAATTTAACCCACACCTTAATTCATATCATGTTAAAATCTTTATAGTAGTGCAAGAGAATAGCTAAATGTTCAAGTGTTATTCCCTTTATTTTATTTGCAAAGGACAACAAATTAACATGAAGTAAGCAGTATCTAGAAAGATACATTTTTACCCACATATGTTTTTCTCAAGATATTACTATAAGCTAAAAGACTAACAAAATTTAAGTTTCACATTCCAAATACTTTTCTTTCAGCCCCAGACTTTCCTGTCACCAATCGTCATGCTCCATGTCAATGATGTTTCTCCTCAAATAATGATTCTTCAAACTAGTTCCGCTTCAAACTAGTTCTCTTCCAATTAATTCTATTTCCTTGTAAACCAAAGCACAGTCAAAATACAGAGTAAATAATTAATGTGAGAGGAAGCAAAAAAATTCAGAAGAAGAATGTGGCTAATTCAAAATATTTATTGTGGATGAGAAAAACCAGAATTGACACAAGGCCAAACTTGCAGAGATACAGAACCAAGGTCTCAGAGTACCAGAAAGTCAATGAACATGAATTTCACAAACCATTGTTGTAACAGCATCCTTTAAAACACAGATTAATACAAGAAACATAAACTGAAATCTTGTTTTAAAAGGAGATTCCCTTGCAAGCAGAAAAAAGAACCACACAAAATTCTGTATGTTTTGGGGTGGGTTTTTTGTAGGATACGAATTGAAGCAGGATAGGAAATTGAAGGAATGTGGAAAATTGCAACAACTTATCAACGGGAAATCAGGTGTGGTAGAAGAGTGACTCACAAAGTCACGGAGAAGTTTGGAAGGATGCGGAGGAACATGTTTAGGCTGTGAAAATGCCGTAACACTAAACATAAGCAGCTGTTTGTCCCCGGAGTGACCCTGCAGATCGGGGCAGCGGGCTCAGGGTGGCCAGGGCCAAGCACTGCTCTGACTCACTGACAGCGACTGCTGGGCTAAGGAAACACATTGACTTCACTAGCGCTTCTGATTTTACTAAATTTTATTTACTGACCTCTACCAGAGATGCTTTGGAAGACTGTCATATAAATATTTGCTTTGAGAGGAAATGTAAGAAAACAAAACAAAACAATCCTAACAACCTCCCCAACCCCCACACTTAAGTCTTGTCTTAGGCTTTATTGCCCAAGACGACTCACATTTTCCTTCAAGCCTCAGCAAGCTGCTCCATCTAGACAATTGCAACTTCAGTTTGTTCACCCACACTGGCCGCATTTCCTTTGGGAAATACTTAATGCATTGACAAAATAAACACTTGACTCATCCCAGCAACACGGAGCACACACACAAGACACGCCAGGGATCCTCAGGCTTGCAAAACACCCCGTATACAGTTACATTTTGGCAAGGCCTTTTCATTAGAAGCTCAGCTTTGGCGAGGCCTTTTAATCAACAGTACGTCTGTCAGGGACTCTGTGCAAACCTCCTCCGCCACACACATGGGAGAAATTCTCGCTCATTTTCCATGTTTCCTTTCCCGATCTTTGCCAATCTCTGAAATTACCGAGGGACAAAGCACGGCAGCCCTGACACTCCGCCCGGCTGACGGGGCTGGACTGCGGGCACAGTCCACAGCAGGGCATGGAGCGGGAGCTCCAGGGGCAGCACGGAGGGGCTGCTCATGCCGCTTATTCTATCCCGGCACGACCTTCCCCTCGGGCCGCTGGCAGCACAGGGATCCCCTGGGGCTCCTGCTCCATGAGGGGCCGGGCGGGAGCGGCGCTGTTCCCTCAGGGAGCTCCTGGCCCCGCGCTGTTCCCTCATGGAGCTCCCGCCCGGCCCCGCGCTAATCCCGCATGGAGCTCCCGCCCGGCCCCGCGCTGATCCAGCATGGAGCTCTCTCTCTCTCTCCCGGCCCCGCGCTATTCCCTCATGGAGCTCCCTCTCTCTCTCTCTCCCGGCCCCGCGCTGTTCCCTCATGGAGCTCTCTCTCTCTGTCCCGGCCCCGCGCTGTTCCCTCATGGAGCTCCCTCTCTCTCTCTCTCTCTCTCTCCCGGTCCCGCGCAGTTCCCTCAGGGCGCTCCCGCCCAGCCCCGCGCCTGCGCAGTGCGCGCGGCGCCATCCGGGTCGCGGCGCGGCCATGGCGACAGTGGCGGAGCTCAAAGCAGGTCGGGGCCAGGGCCGGGGTCGGAGCCGGGGATGTCTCGGGCTGCCAGGAGGGCGGGAGGGCCACCTGGGCTTCCGCGGCCACCCGGATGGGTCTCAGGGCTGCCGCGGGCGCTAATGGGGGCCGCCGTCCCTCGGCGCTGCCTCTGTCATATACCGTGGGCTGTATTTCAGCATACTTCAGTATTAAACGCATCTTGGTGCAGTAACATCCTGATTCTTAAATTGCCAGAACGTATGCTTGGCGACTAAAAAAAAATGTGACTTCTCTGAAGGCTTAACTTTTATCTGTGTCGTGCCTAGACTGGCGGGTGCACAGGTGCCGATACCTTATCGCTGTCGCAGTGTACGGCAAAACCCTGCTTGTATCGGGGCTAATTAATGCCCTTTGGCTTTAAATTAACGGGCCTTTTCGTGGTGACAGTTTTAAAGGACACACTGGAAAAAAGAGGAGCTCTTGCCCAAATCAAAGCGAGGATCAGGGCTGAGGTGTTCAATGCCCTGGACGACCAGAGCGAGCCGCGGCCGGCGCTGTGCCGGGAGAACCTCCTGATCAATGAGCTCATTCGGGAATACCTGGAGTACAACAACTATAAATACACAGCATCTGTTCTGACGGCAGGTATGGGTGATGAATTTGTGTCATCGCTCTGATGGTAATCAGTGATTGTTTGGTTGAAAAATTCCATTGATATTATGGAATTAGTAAGTGTGACAAGCTGCATAATCTTGTCTTCCCTCGGGAATTAACAGGGTACAGACAACCTCTCCACAGCTCTACTTGCAGCCTTAAGCCAAATCATTCCGTTAGTTTTTAAGAAAACTTACTCTCTGCTCCTTTACCCTTGAGGTAAATTGTTTGACACAGTAGTTGATGCAAGAGCAAGAAAATTTGATAGCATCCTGCAAATTCAAATTTCTTGAAATGACTGGGAGTAGCAGTTTAGAGAAGGAGTTGTTTGCCTGATTAATTTATCTTTATACTGTAAGACTTCTGTAATATTTTGCTTAGATTCTTTAGAAGTAAAGATAAAAATTGTAATGTGCTATTGTAAATTATACCAGTAGGAATCACTAATGCTTAAGTGAGTTCCCTGGAATTACAATACACTGTTAGTTATTAATAGTCTAAAAGGAAGGTGAGTGCTCTCATGATCTTTTGAAGTTATCTGTTAATTGGTGACATTTTTCTTACTGGTCTTAAGATTCAAGGATTTTGTTTTCCAGAATCCGGCCAGCCTGAAGTACCCTTGGATAGACAATTTCTTGCCAAGGAGCTGAATATAGTTGAAGATGCAAGTGGAAAGTCAGTGTAAGGAGGAATTTTGGAATGCACAGTATATTCTGTATATTCTATATCCTGTATACCCGTATATTTTTCTCTTTAGTGTTATTATAAATCACATATAAATGTTCTCACCAATTGAAATGTGGCTGATCCCACGCCTGTTCTGATATGCTGGATTCAGCTTCACGATGCCAAACATGGGGCCATTTTCAGGCATACCCCAAACTAACACTGCATTCTGCCAACACAGTGGCATTCTCCAGATAGTGCCCTTGTGCACCAAAACACAGCTCTCTTACCTGTACAGTCTGCTTTCTACAGAAAGTAGATCTGCTCTTTGCATTTCTGGGAGTTCTTTTCTGGAGCAATAAAAATATTACTGTGAGATTAGATATAAAATCAGAGTGCTCCAATAAAACTACATTAATGACCTGAGGGCTGAAGCAGGTTCAGACATGTTCAGCATTCTCTGTAGCTTGTGCTGTCTGAACCTGTCAGGTGCTTAGGAAGAGTCAAGTTTGAGATGTGCCCTGGTGGGCTGGCCTGTGGCCCACCAGTGTCTGATCTGTTGTGAGTGTGTGCATCCTTGTGATCCATGGGTGAGAATGTGCTCCTGTGCTAAACATGCTCCAGTTCTTCACCTGCCAGGGGAGCTGGAGTTTAGTGGAGAGTGTCTCTTAGTCTGAGCTTTTTAGGGCAGTGTTGGTGTTCAGGGGGAGCTTAGGTCTATGCTTATGTATGTCATGATACTTGGATGTGTTTTAAGTCATTAAAGACATCTGTACATATTGTAGAAGTAAATACTAAGATCTAAGGAGTCCTGGGGGAAGGGTGTATTTTTAATGCTCCATAGACTTTACAGACTGCTTTTTAATTTCTCCCTTAAGCAGACCTCTCCTGTATGGAATTCTCTCTCATTTCTTACATGGTGGTAAAGAAGAAAGTATCCAGAACATCCTTCCAAAAGTGTCTTTACTGAATTATCCAAAGCAGAACCTCGGCAAACCGCCTGCTGAGAGAAATCAAAAAGGTGAGTGCAATGTAATTTTTGCTGAACTTTTGTCTGTGACTGGATTTCCTATACCATGCATAAACATGCAGCTGGACCCTGTGTCCCTCCTTCTCTGTGCAAGGAATGCTTTCATCTGACACCAAATGGCTTTACCATTTCCCTAAAAGTTTAACTGGCCAAATTGTACTCCCTTATATTACTACAAACCTGAAAAAGGTCAGCTAGAGACAGTCTCACTGTATTGGGTATTCAATACAAGATTTTAATCTAAATTCTCAATAAAATATATTAAATAATGAGTATATCTCTTTTTCTTATCTGATCTAACCTAATTTCTATAGAAAGTTCTTAACTCTTTAGTGTCAATTCTTTACATGGACATAAACCTTTTCTGAGAACATAATTCATCTCCTATTTGCCACAAAAGCTTAAGTCCAAAGTTCATTGCTCTATAGTAAACACTGCTAAATGTTACTTGCCTTTTCTGGTCTGCTTTTGGACTGGTTATAATTAATACCACCTAAGCTAGAGAATGAAAAGGTTCATTGGTCCAGCTTTTTCCTTCTAAGAGTCTCCTTGGCATATTGCTTCATTTTTTACTGTGAATATTTATTACTCTCCTGTTAATACTATAAACTGTTTGGTTTGTATCCAAGAATTTCAAAAGTAGGAAGCCTGAAATCTTACTGACATCTAAAAAGGGTGAGAAGTACTAACAGTTTTTTAACAGTTAATTCAATGAGACAATGATGTTTTTCTTCTGCCAGAAGAGGGGGCTGAAGAAACAAAATTTCCATACCAAAACTGCTATAAATTACCTCTTTGTTAGAAAACAATTACTCCTATCAGAAATTTCTCCATTTTAAAAACAAACTGAGTGTATAGGAGAATTTTTTTTAAAGTATACTTTTGTTTCTACTGACTTTGCAGGGTCACCCTGCCCTGTTGACTCCAATATAACTTCACATGGAGATTTCATTGGTTACAGTTGGTTATAGAGCTCAGTATCAATCATGAGATATAACAGCACGTTGCTGTTTTTAGAATTAAACAAAAACATTAAAGTTTTTAGGCTTTGAACCTTTAAGTAAATATATTCTGAAATTACTTTCTGCATGTGTTTGTGGAGTATGTTAGTGGAGACCTAAGGACAGTGTATTTAAAATACTAATTATCCAACTCTTCACTAGGCTGCATAATCAAGTCCATTCATAAACTCAACCTGCCAAGTCTCTTATTTAACATCTAACTTGCTTTTCACTTTAGAAATTATCTTGTTTATTTAGATGTATGAGTATTCCAGCAGACTGGGGATCCTGATAAAGGTGTGGAATATGGTGTTTCTTTACCTCATTCACCACAGCTGAATTGGAAGTTGTCTGAAATCTAATCTTAGTGATGTAGAGCTTTTATCTCCTACAGCTGCATGGAAACATTTATGTGTAAAATTTCCTAAATTCTCTATGATGATAATGTACATCAGAGTTGCTAATAGTAGAAGATAACACACCGTGGACCTCCAGATGCATGAGAATATTTTTGTCTGTGTTTTGTTTTCAGACAGAATTCCAGAACCAGGAAGGATGGCTGGCATGAGCATCGAAGAGCCTCTTATTTTACAAAGTATAAAGAGATGATATCTTTCATTTTCTAATTTCTCATTTCAAGGTCTGTCAGATTTAATTTAGGACATTCTTCATTGCATAAATTTCTCCAATAAATCCAGTGGGACCATTTTAGCTTGTAATGTCTACTCATGAGGCAGGATGACAAGGTCATACTTATCATCAATTTAAAAAATGTTAGCCAAGCTCTCTTTCCATTTCTCTATCCCCTGCTAGAAGGAAAGCTGTATAGAGTCACACTAGTGAATCACTAGTCACACTGTGTCTAGAATTGCACCTGAATTTACTGAGTTTATCCAATACATTTTTATATAATAACTTATCATTTCTGTACTTTTATCTTTGTGTGTTTTTCCAATGTTTCTGAATAAAATTTTTCAATTTTATTCCGTGTGGTATTTTGAGAGTGTTCAAACTATACATTTTAATCATTCTTTTAAAAAAGAGGGTGCAGCTTTCAGATAAGCAAGGGAAAAGAAATTCAAATAGAAAATTGAAGTGATTTAGAGGGACAGTTGTTTTTAATTCTCCAGAAATGGGGACTATATTTATCTTCATGCCAGCAAACAAACAAGAGTAAGTTTTTTCCATCTGGAGTTGCTATAAATTGTACGGTGTAACACTGGGTATATGGGAGGGGAAGGAACTTCTGGGTTTTTTTCCCAAACAGCATGAAACCCAAAGTCAGGAAAAGCTAAAAATAAAGTTGATAGTAGATTACTGATTCCCAGAACTCTTTTTTAGCTGAGGTATTTACATGTTTTGAAATGGTAATTTATTTTAAAAGCCCAACTTGCAAGGGTACATAAAAAAATAACATCTATTTTTTCTCTTCTCATTTTAACAAAATGCATAAATGCTAAATATATCCAGTGGTACTGAGAGGAGTTTTGTCTAATTAAATCTCTAGAGTCAGGTCCTTAAAAACCTTTATTGTTAGAAAAATGGTACAGTGGAGGGGGGAAGAAAGAAAGGGAACCTGCAGTTTGTGAAGCTGAAAGGACCCTAAGCTGTGCAGATTGAAATTTTGCCATTATCTTGATTTGACCCAGTTAGCATTGCAGGGATACTTTTATTTCTACCAGCAGCCTGTGCTGTGCTGTGGAGCTGCAGAGAGGCTGCATTTATCCCTTTGAAGCCTCAGCAGTGAGCTCATCTCCTCCGTGTGACTGGCAGTGCTGGCAGCTCCTCCCTGGCTGATCTGTGTCTCAGGACTGCTGCCAGGAGGGGAGGACGTGTGTTTGCAAATAAACCTCGATCAAATCCATCTGTGAGTCCTCTGCAGCAGTGGCAGCTGACCACTGGATCAGGCCTCCGTGTGCTCTGTGCTCACACCTCTGTCACCTTCAGCTGCTGGGCTGAAGAACCACCTCTGAATTTTAATTTGATTTTCCAGAAGTTTAGTGCTAGACCCGTGTGTTTCCATGAAGCAGTGGATCAAATTGTTATGCGTATTTGGATTCTGAATTGTCTTTTCAAGGGCAAAGAAAAAGCTCAAACCTTCTCTGCTATGCAAATGTTTCACTGTAAACAGCCACTGCTTCTGCTTTCTGTCTTCCCAGCATAGATCATTCAGATGCTGCCCAGGTGCCATGGAGCTCCCTGGGAAATAAATTTTTAGTGGTAGAAATTTAAAAAAACTTTTGCTCAGGCTGAGAAAGGCAAAGGGATGTTTGGTACCTGCCCTTTCCCAAGCACACAGCTCAGCAGGCTCCTCTCTCCACAGCCAGGAAAGCAATGGCTGCTACACGGGCATCCTCCACTGAGCTTTGAGGTAAAGGTGCATGTCTGAAATCAGAGACAAAATACATTTAAAACAGAAGGAATCTTTGGACTGTTTTCTCTGGGGATTCACCCATTGTGCAGACACTCTGTAGGGACAGTGGGTGGAATCTGGCCTGTTTGCTCTGGGTGCAACTTGCATTTCATCTAAATCTCCAATACCCTCACAGCCCATGTCTGGGGGTTAGGAACAATCCTTTGTTTCAAAGTATAGTCATTGTACAAGCAAACTAAAGGCAAATTAAAGTGTTTATCAAGTCATGTTTATTTACAACAAAGCTTTGGAATATACCTATGAAAATATACTGGTCTAGTGATATTATTAATTGTCTAGCATTAATCTTGACAGAACATGAAATATCAGAGTATCTTTCAAGATGCTGACATAGAGCAAGTCCTCTGAATGTCTGACTGCCTGCCTTGTTACTGGGTGAAGAGGAATTGCAAAATCTTTCCCACATGAATGCACTGAGCATTCCTTAAAATTTTAAGGTGAGATCAATATTTAGATCAAAATATTTCACAGTCCTAGAGTCGCAGGTTCAGGTTTTAAAAGAAATTGCCAATTAGATGAGCACACACAAAAATTATTTTCTTAACTTTACAAGTTGCATAATTACAGCCTGGGATGTCTTGTATTAACTGCCCTTACTTTTTCTACTAACAACAGAAAATGAAAGAAAACAAAGATACAAGCATAGAGAAGTTTAGGGCCTTTAAACAGCAAAATGCATTTGTGAATTCTGTTGGAGATAGAACATTAACCAAGAGCATAATGGAGGGAATTCCATTAAAAGAGGCTGTTTGTTGTCCAAGCACATTATCACAAGTGAAGGTGACAAGGAGCCAGTGAAGTCTGGTGTGGATATCAGATCTGGAAAGTACTTTGGAAGAACTTAACCCACAAGTTTTAAAAATAAAAAATTCTTCAAGACCAAATTTTTGCTCTCCTCTCGAATGAGAGCAAACTGTGTCTCTAGACTGCAGGGCAGCTGAGCAGTTTCAGAGGTTTTAGTTTCTGTCCTGCACAGGGGAGACTTTTTGAAGCTTTATCAGCTCGCTCTGAGGACTCAGTTACGTTTTCCTTCCTGAGCACCCTCGTGTCAGGCACCCAATCTCGGTGTCCCTGGATCAGTTTTCCGGAGGACTGATTAGCCTTGGGTAATCACCTTGAGGAAAAGAAACCCCAAAAGGTTTGTTCACACTTGTAAAGACACCCTTTCAGCAGCAGCTGATTCAGACCTGCTCTGTGCACTTCACCTGATCACCTGCAGCCAGCATTAAGCACAAACATCGAGCAGCTGGCAGTGATTTCCATCAGACTGTTCTCAAGATTGATTGTCCTGGCTTGGACACAGGCTGTCCCTCCTGCTGCAAGGGTACAGCTTGACACAGGTGGTAATCCACCAGTACAATTACCTGTTCCAATTGTATTTGTCATCTTAGAGAAACATGGTTGGTAAAACTTAAGTAAAAACGTTTTTAAACAAAACAAAAATTGCTTACCTGATGCTTTATTTAACAAACTAACATCACCATTTGTGCTTTTTTTTCTTCCCCTCTCATGTGTTCAGGTTACACCATGGTAAGGCAGTTAAAAGTTCACTTCTTTCCTTCTTGGGTCCTCTTTCTTTTCCCCAAGTACAATATTTACAGTGCAAATTCAGTAAGGAGATATTTAAGGGTAGGCTGCTCAATACTTTATTTTTTTCCTAGAAAAGTAATTAAAACAAATAAATAAACAAATCAAGGGGGTTTAAACAACGCTTATTTTCTTGTCACAAAGTCATCATCCACTGGGAATCCACAGCTTTCATTTTGAGGCAACTTTGGTTTAAAACAACCACCACAACCTTCAGGAACCCCCAACCAGACTATCAGACTAATATATTCTTACATTATTTTTCAGTGAATGTTGGAAGCCATGCTTACATTTATCAATTCCTACCCCACATGGCTTGAGAGTGCAACTCTTTCAGTCCCAGCAGTAAGATTCTTTTGGACTTTCTAGCTCCATTTAATGTCACATCATATATCACCCTCCAGCACTGCTGCTGTTAAACTCCCTCCTTGGGCAGCAAGCCTGCGTGTGCAGTGGTTTGCAGACCAGCCAGAATAATTTCCACTCCTTTTTAAGCTACTATTATAATGTGTCTGGTTTTGTGAAACAGCTGCATGTGTTTAAAAGAAACTTCTTAGAATAACTTTGATGAATGTTAAAATGATCCTACTTTTCAGAGGATTCCCTTGCATTTCATTGTTTTTCTAATTAAAAGCTAAGTTTGCAATCAAGAAACTGCAGGGGAAAAAAGTAAAATAGGGTGAACTACCCTGCCCTGTGAGGGACTTTCTGCTAACAAGGACTAGTTTCTTGGATTTATGTCGTGGTGATCATTTCCCTGGCTTTGCTCCAACACAGTCACACATGCACGGGTCTGATACAGCACTGCTGGGTCCTGGAAGGCTCTGCCTGGCTCCGTGGCAGCCCCACAGCACTGAGACACCAACCCTGCCCCTGGCAGGACAGTCTGTGACCTCTGGGACTGTGTCACTGCCCTGGCAAACCTGCTCTTCTCCAGCTGAGGCCCAAACCTGACCCTCCATCTGGTATTTCTGAAATGTTGTAGAGCAGAAACCCCAGGGCTCTTTCCCTCTCTCCTCTTTGTCCAAATTTTTTCACCTCTGGCCAGAACTTAGAAGAAGAGGTTACAGGTCTATCACACCTGCAAATTCCTGACCCAGTGATAGCAGAGGTTTTCAGCCATCCTCTCCTCATAGGTATTTTTTCAGGATGATGAGACCAATATGAGCTCCATCCGTCTTCCCCAGGAGGGTTTATTTTCCAGAGAAGACAGAGCTGTTGATGTCAAGAGAAATAATTTCACTCAGGCCTGTGCTCTGATCCTTTGGGTATACACCATATTTAGTCTGTTGCTGAGAGGGGGTTGTTTCGGTATTTTGTATTTGGCACGTTGGTGGGAATTCCTAGAGGATCCTAGCTTTCCCTTTTTGGGATATCTCCATCCACAGGTCCTACTGCACAAGGCTGTTGGCTACTAGGGGAGGAAGGAGGGGGGACAGCTGGGGACTGAAGGTTTAGGGGTGTGAGGAAGCTTTGATGAGGACCAGATCACTCCCTAACCCTGGCAGGTCTGGCTCCCAGCACCCTGTCCTCCTCCTCCTCCTCCTCCTCCTCCTGCTCCTCCTGTCCCTGCCAGCACACGGTGCCTGCTCCCTGTTCTCTCCCTGCATCCTGGGGACTCTGGCCCCAGCTCCTCATCACTTCTCTTCTACATTTACAGACACACGGGGTATTTCTTATATATGAGAAAGTACTTACAGTCCTTTCTCAAGAACTGAGCTGCACACTGGATCGCAAAAGAAACTTTGGCAAATCTGCTGGGAAGGTGGCAAAAAAACCTTCTCATTTCCCAGGGGCAAAGGAGGCTTAAACCAGCCCCAGGCTCCAAATGTCACATAAGCACAGGGAGACCCAGAGCCACCTCCACCCATACAGTCCTGCTGTTAGGAATAACCCTCTTT